TGTTTTAGGTCTTCCTTGATTCTGATAACTGACCCTGTGGGCTCCTTGCTTTTTCTTCTTCCCATGTGTTAAATTCTCACTCGTACCTTGTGGATACACCATGAAAGAGTGAGCGAGCCTGCAAAACCTTACGCCCCCAGGAAAAACAGAAGCCCAGACTCACGATGTTTCTCTCTCTCTACCCTAGGACTGACTGTGTGTGCGCCCTCTCACGGGACTTCTATGCTCTGGGGCCTGTTAAGTCATAAACTCGTTTTTCCTTCCCGGGTTCTGACTCGTTACCGCAGTAAAGCATCTTGCACAAGAACCGCAAGTGTCCGTCCATTGGTTTACAAGGGGAAGATATCTGTGGGAAGCTCAACGGGTCCCCGGTGAAGTGCCCCCAGGGCATTTCTAGCTGATAGTACTACAATCCGTAGGCTGAGGCTGCCAGTAAACATTAATGTGTTGTGCTACAATTTTAGGAAGGCTACCAGGTCACAAGGCAATAGGAATTTTTCAGCTCTCCTATATTCTTAGGGGACCACCCTTGTATACGTGGTCCACTGTTGACCAAAAGATCGTTACGAGGTACATGACTACACTATGAACAATTATACGCCACACAAATTCAACAACCTAGGAGACATAGACAAATCCCTAGAAATATACAATCTACCAAAACTGAACCACGAAAAAATAAAAAATCTAAATAGATCGATTACTATAAAAGGAGACTGAGGCAGCAATCAAAAACTGCCCAACAAAGTCTAGAAATAGATGGTTTCACTGGTAAATTCTACTAAACAGTTAAAGAAGAATTCATAGCAATCCTTCTCAAACTCTTCCAAAAAAAGGGGGGGGGGGAGAATGGAACACTTCCACCAGCGTTATTCTGATACAAAAATCAGACAAGAACAATACAAGAAAATAAAATTACATGCCGATATCCCTAAGTGAACATAGATGCAAAAACCTCAGCAATATATTAGCAAACCAAATTCAACAATACACTGAAAGGGGCCAGACACCACCACCAAGTGACATTTACTAAAAGGGATGGATGTCAAAACATCCATAAATCAATCCATGTGACACACCACATTAACAAAATAAAGACTAAAACCATCATAAAATCGTCCGAATAAGACAGAGAAAAAGCACTTGACAAAACACAACATCTATTTATGACAAAAATCCTCGGCAAGATGGGTATAAAGGAATGTACGTCAACATAACGAAGGTCCTATAAGACAAGGCCACAGCTAACATTACACTCGGGGAAAAACTGAAAACCTAAATGGCCTGGCCTAACAGGAATAGTATTGCTTTACTTTTATATAACTGCAGGGCAGTGGGTTTATTTACATGAGTATCACCACAAACACATGAGTAATGACGTACCCTATGACATCATGACAGCTATGACATCACTACCTGAGGAGCTGTTCAGCTCCATTCAAATCTTATGGGACCCCCAACAGACGGGTGGTCAGTGGCTAACTGAACTGTTGTTATGTGGCACATGACCGTATATAGAAAACTTCCCAAGACGCCACCAGAAATTTTGTTTTTAGAATAAATAGTCTCAGTTTAGTTCCAGAATAGAAAATTAATGTACATAAACCAGTCCTGTTTCTATACATCAACCGTTTGAAAAGAACGCAAATAAATGCAAAGATACTTTGTGTTCATGGACTGGAAGAATAAATATTGTTAAAATAGCCATACTACCCAAAGTGACCTACATTGTCGATGCAATCTATCAAAATCCCCATGGCACTTTTCACAGAAATAGAAAAAGCAATCCTGAAATTTGTATGAGACCTCAGAAGACAGAGGCATCACACTTCCTACTTTCAAACTATATTTTAAAGCTGCAATAATCAAAACAGTGTGGTTTGCGCGTGAACACAGACACAGAGATCAATGGAACAGCACGGAGAGACCAGAAATCAACGCTCTGCGCATATGGCCAGGTAATTTTTCAGCTAAGGAGCCGAAAATTCGTAATAGGGGAAGGGTAGCCTCTTCGATCAATGATGCTGCGAACACTGGGCAGCCACATTTTAAAAAGAATGAAAACACAAATAAATAAAAAAAATGAGACCGGACTCCGATCTTACACCCGCGACAACAAACAACTGGAGATCCTAATATTTAAAACTCAGAGGAGGAAAAAAACAGGGAGTACATTCCCTGACATTGATCTCAGCAATCATCTTTCGGATTTGACACCAAAAGCAAAAACAAAACAAAACCAAACCCCAAAAAACTAAACAAGTGAGACACTATCAAACTAAAAAACATCTGCTCAAAAAAGGTAACCACATGGGAAAGGCAACCTACAGAATAGAAGGAAATAATTTTGTTAACCACAAATCTGATAAAGGATTCATAACCAACTTATGCAAGGAACTCAACTCGATAGGCAAAACAAACAAACAAACAAACAAAACAGACCCAGATTTAAATAGGGACAAGGACCAAGGACCTAAGCAGACACGTCCCCCGCCCCCCCACCAAGACCTAAGTATGGCCCCCAGGGACTTAAAAAAGTGGCTCCACATCATTGATCGAGAGGACAATTCAAGGGCACAATGAGGTACCATGTCACCCTTAGGATGTCTATTATCAGAAAGTCAGGAGATACATACTGACAAGTATGTAGAGAAAACCCTTGTACACGGGTGGGAATATACATGGGTACGAGGGCACGACCACTGTGGAAAACAACACAAAGATTCCTCAAGAGATTAAAATGGACCGACCGTATCATGCAGCAGTCACCCTGGGCGGACAGCCACAGGACAGGGTAAAATTCCAAGAGTTATCTATACTACTACGTTTATATACACATTATTTACAATAGCCACGGCATAGGAAAAGGAAGGGATTCATTGGGGAGAAGATGAAACGGCTGAGGGCATCATGTTAAGTGAAATAAGCCGGACAGAAGGGGGGCAAACACAGCCTGGTGTCACTTACGTATGAAGTATATGTACATATATATTTTAAAAAGTCAAGCCAATAAAAAGAAACACCTCATGGATCTATGCGGATGACGATATTGCTTCTTTATTGCTATGTAGTCTCTGATTACTTTTGACCCCTCTCATTCACTCCTACACAGATTTTTTCTTTGAACCAATGGTCATGAAATGCTTACTTTCTGACATTCCAGCATCAAATATGACAATGGGGGGAAAATGTCCCTGTCAACTAGGAGCTCTTAGGTATATATTTTGGGAAAAGGAGGCAGAACACACCACCACGGGGAAAAAAAAGGAGATTCAAAATGGGGAAGTGTATGAGTGATACGGAGAGAAAGACGACATGGATGTGGGCAGACGAAGCCACGGCCCCCCCCCTGCGTCAGCTCCTCACACTGACCCTGAAGTGACCCTCCCGAGACACATACGATCTCAGTGCCCATCAACAGGGGTCTCGTCCCAAATCGATCCATTCTGATGCTCACGGCACATCGGCCCTCTCTCCGCTGAGAGAATGGGGTGTGGGTGGGAATGTCAGTGAGTCTTACACATGAATGAAATGGTTCCCAGTGTGGGGCAACCCCCCCCCACTGGAGGGAAATGTGATTTTTTAAGGGGGGCAATTCGAGAATGAGTTATGAACAGTGAATGTTTTGCATTTCTCAGAGTTCTAGGGGCCTCATAGATAGTCTTTAAATACACATGGTGACATATTTATGCATCTCAGTTCTCAATGATGTGGTTTGAAACTTTGCTGTTTGTCATATCACTTATTTTTTTAAAACAATTCCTTAGTGAGTGTTTCCTCAGTACGTCCACTGTCCTTTTGTTCTTTTATTTTTCTCTTTCATGGATGCCATGTTCTTTGGAAGTTTAAGACCAAGTTCATGGCCTTTTACGTTTCCTCCATGTGAGTAAGAGTTCACTTTTTGAATAAGAAGAATTCTATGTCATGGGGGGGGGGGCAGGGAAATCGGGATTTCAGAGATGCTTAGGTGGGGCGTGGCCAAAGAAAGGTTGGGTACCGCTGACCTAGAGTCTTGAAGAATGACGATAACCATGAGTCACTATTTTTTCTTTACAAGGCTTTGTTTGAACCTATCCCTACTCCACACCGAACCAGCAACGGTAATTTTTTTTTTAAAGGTGATTAAGTCAGAAGAAGTAGTCCTAAATGAAGTCCAAACAACGGATGAAGAAGCAGAAGGAAAGCAAGAGGGAGGCCCATGACCTATTCACCGAAGGCCCCTTGATGATTAGGGTCATTTTTAACCTCTCCCTCCATCTCCATAACAAGTCTTCCTACTCCTCTTGACGTCCCGAACCTGAGCAGGATGGGAAAGGCTCACGTACAATCCCAACTCTCTGTCCTAAAAGTGTATGCTCTCCCATCTACCACTCATCAGTAGACGGGTCTTCACCGACGATCAATACTAAGACAGAAGCGGGTTCTCATAGACGAATAGAACTACCATCCCTTTGGGGAACACCCATCATCCTTAGACTACAGATACACAAAGGGAGAATTCTTAAACGTTGGGAGAGTTTGAAGATAGTAATATCACTAATATTCTGGGGGCACGGGGTGGGTCTCAGTGAAGTTAGCCACATCGATTGTATGATTTTGTCCCTTCCCGTGATGGAAAACCATGAGCAGTGACTGTATTTTTGCAACAGAATGCCTTACTGGGCTACCATCGCACCTCTACTCTTACAAGGTAATTCTAAAAATAGAGGAGTGCCTGAAACAGAGAAGTGTTTTCTAGGGAGGGAATGCACGTAAAAAGAGCATGCTAGAAAATAGGTTGGGCCCTCGCCAGTTTGGCTCAGTGGATAGAGCGTCGGCCTGTGGACGGAAGGGTCCCGGGTTCAATTCCGGTCAAGAGTACATACTGTGATTGCAGGCTTCTCCCCGGCCCGGGCCCTGGTTGGGGCACGTGCAGGAGGCAACCAATTGATGTGTTTCTCTCACATCGATGTTTCTCTCTGTCTTTGCCTTTCTTCCACTCTCTCTAAAAATCAATGGGAAAATATCCTCGGGTGAGGATTACAAAATATATATAGATATATAAGTTGGAGGGAAAGTAAGAGAAAGAGAACACAACACAGTAGAAAAAACCGAGGTGCAGTCTATGGGGGTGGTTCTTTTGTATGATTCTTGAAACTCTAAATCTAGATTTCCAAACTAAAGAGTCAAAGAAATCAACACTGGCATAAGGCATACGTAGGAAGTTTATGAAATTGCAAGAAGCATCGTATTTTGAAAAGGATAATGCATTTTACCTCTGACAACCAGGATAAGTCTTGGGACTAGAGGAAAAAGATGGGCTTATTGTTTGTTAGTTGGTTAATAAATCACCTGTCACTATTGGGTCTATTTTATCTAGGGCCATTTACTGTTTAAAAAGTGGGCTTAATATTTTTCACCTATTAGATTGGCTGATACCCATTATGTCCACGTCTGTATGAAAATCAGCACAGCCATCGCACCACAGCTGTGTGCAGGCCTGGGAAAAATTTCAAGGGCAATTTCACAATATCTACCGAAATCAAAAGCATGCAGAACTAAGGGTCCAACAATGTCACATCTAGAAGTCTGTTCTAAGAGAATTAGGAGCACGAGCGCATTAATATAGATCTATAATTATATACATTACAACATTATATGCAGTGGCAAAAAACAAAGAAACACAGGTAACCGACGTGTCCCAAAGCAGGGAAATGGATGAACCCATTGTGATATGCACTACATCCAATACAATGTCCATAGGGAAAGGAGATTTATCAGTTTGAGAATATGTCCACAATATACTTAAAAAACATAAAAAAGTGGCCAAACATAGACCATCACACAATGGCGTATTTGTGAAATAAACCCAACATAAACTTAGATAAGCCGAGAGCAGTTACTTGACCACTATGCCACAAATGGTTAACTACTGTCCACCCCTAGGAACTAGAAATAGAAGGTGGACAACGAATGACCACAGGCGACTTTAAATTGGGTAATAACCCATTCGTTCTTTTTTTTTTTTTTTTAACCCATTCATTCTTGGCTGCCCCGTTTCAATGAACGAGGCGTAAAGCTGTTACTGAGATAAGTTGGGCGTTGGAGTTAGGTGTTCCCTCGAGATGGAGGAGTTTATGTTCCAGGAACAAGACAATGAAAACAGACAATAAACTCCGCCATCTCCATTCCACCCATGGAGGTGACACGGACAACCCATGAAAATGAAGGGCCATGGAGATTTGACCTTGAACCGGTACCCTGCGGTGTTCACGTGGACCCCAAAGACAACTCCAGGGATACCAAGGAACCGGTAATCTACAAGATGGTATCACCACGGTTCAAAATGCCAGGGCAATGGTCTTGGCTCCCCCTTAACACAACGGAAGTGGTGGTGGCACTCAGGTCTATGGGTGGGGCACTGGGGAAGAGTTGCTCAAGGCCAACTCCTGGTCTAAAATGCAACGTAGCAGGCTCACTAAACAGGGAAAACAATCAATCGCTTATTGTGGGAACACAAATATTAAGGGGATCCCGTTAGGGCTACCTCTAAAAAAACCCCACAAAATACAAAAAACAGTGGGCTCCAGTTCAGAACAAAGGATACCAAAATGGCCCATGGGAGGCACGTAGCTTGTGAGAAAGCCTCACTATCGTGGGGTGGGGGCGGGGGATCACCAAGGTGGTGTCTACAGGTTACACAATCACATTTCCCACCCCCATCGCTCACTCCCATTTGTAAAGTAAAACACGGATTTTTCCAACCCCCACCCCCCAAAATGCAACAGGGTCAAGAAGACAATAGAAGAAATCACATGACATATATTCAGAGCACAGAGAAGCATGTCACAGTCCAGGCAATTACTTGCCGGCAAGCAGGTCAGTTCTAGGAAAGCCGTGCCCTTTTGAGAAAGAGACGCAGCAAGCTTCTCAGAGGGGGAAACGAGACAGCATCTGGGTGATGCTGGGGATGGGATCACTTCAGAAGGTGCCTAGGGTCCTGTTGTCCACATGTCCACCACCTGGGAGAGGACAGAGGGAGATATCGCGAATGAAAACAAGCAGGTTTATCTTATACTAGAGGCCCAGTGCATGGATTCGTGCACCACTGGGGTCCCTCAGCCTGGCCTGCACCCTCTCCTTGGGGGATGTCGGAGAGCCGGATCCCCGCAGGCCAGGCCAAGGGACCCCAATGGTGCACAAATTTGTGCACCAGGCCTCTAGTATGCATGTCAGGTCTTTGGTCAATCTCTTCCCGCCCTCCCCTCTCCCCCCGGAGATTCATCAGTGTGTTCCACGTTTCCATGCCTGTGCATTGAGCATCTGCCCCCCCCTAGTGGTCAGTACACGTTACAGCGACCTGTCAAACAGTCACTTAGGCTTTTATATATATAGCTGGCCATGCCTCCCACCACAGGGAGGTCATCTGGCAATCCAGGATATTACGGCTAGTCCCTGGAAAACTACACCCAGGAGCTGGTGCTAAGTATCTCCAAGCTATAAAACCTTAGTTTGCTTCCATGCACAAAAATGATGAAACCATGACTTTTTTTACTCCTCAACCCCCCTTGACTGTGACTTGAGTACCCACCTTCCGTTCCTGATTATTTTCAGGTCATCCAACCACAAATGCATTGCTGAAACTGCCATTTCCTGTGTTACTTATTCATAATTTGTATTTCAATTTAGCATTAGACATAAAATGGCCCAGCTGGCATGCTTCAGTGGTTGGATGTCGACCCATGAACCAGGAGATCACTGTTTGATTCCTGTCACGTCATATGCCCGAGTTGCAGGCTCTATCCCCAGCAGAGGGCCTGCAGGAGGCAGCTGATCAATGATTCTCATCATTGATGTTCCTCTCTCTTCCTCTCCCTTCCTCTCCGAAACCAATAAAAATATATTTTTTAAAAATAAAATTAAAAAATGATGATGAAACAGCCTGGCTGGTATATGTGGCTCAGTGGTTGAGCTTCGCCCCGCGAACCAGGAGGTGACAGTTCGATTCTGTCAGGGCACATGCCCAGTTTGTGGGCTCAATCGCCAGTAGGGGGCGTGCAGGAGGCCTATTCATGTTTCTATCTCTCTGCCCTCTCCCTTTCTCTCTGAAATCGGTAAAAAATATTTCTAAAGAATGATGATGTACCATTGTAACAAGGAAATATTAATATCTACTGCAAATTTTATATAACATTCCATGGAAAGCTTTCAAAAAAATCTAACCTCATTAGGGCAATTACCCACATTATATACTTTCCCTGCTTTCCTGAATGCCTCTTGCACAATTTCTGATAGATTTCACTTGGGGAAAAAAAAAGCCTGTATTTTGATTTGTAGTCTTATTCAGTCTTCTTGACTAACTAAAACCCGGGGTTAGACTATAACCTCAACATAGTCACAGAGGCCACATAATAGGTTGGAGGAAAACACAAATGTAGTGTCAAATAACTCAGAAAAGAATCGAACCCATCACCAATACGGCCAAGAGGGTATCTCAACATGAGAATATTAAGTCTTAATGCTCTTACCTGCAGTCAAAATCTCTTTGGTCCTTGCTTATGGAAGATGCTTGTGAGACAAAAAAAAAAAAAAGGCATGCTTCACAATATTTGAACAATCGTCATGCACTCATCAAATGAAAGGGTCAGAACCAACTCCCACCAAGGCGATATTCTGGAACATTCCTCCACGTCTGCCTACCCACTAATACTAGCCATAGCCTAACTCATGCGCCGAGAAATAAAACTCAACTTCTGTCACTAAGGCCCATACGAATTGCATCCAATGCCACTTCCTCGTCGATTTGCTTTCTGGTTATCTTTTTACAACCCCCTTTGACCTTTCCCCCCCACCTGCCTGATATCCTTCCTTCTCTTCCTGGACCCATCCACCATTCATGGGTTTATCCCCAAACATCTTAACATTTGAATGAATTTAACATTGACTGAGCATACAGAGGTATGGTGAGGAGGTATAGGAGGCTTTTTATACCTTCTAGGGCAGTGGTGGGCAAACTCATTAGTCAACGGAGTCAAATATCAACAGTACTTCTTCACAAGAGACTTGCCAAAGCCGAAAACCGACTTCTGCGCATGGGCCACGAAGTTTCAATTGCACTGTATGTGCGTGCCTGCACGTGGTATTTTGTGGAAGAGCCACACTCAAGGGGCCAAAGAGCTGTGGCTGGAGAGCCAGTTTGCCGACCACGGTTCTAGGGTGTCTGATTGGCAAGCACTCTACAATTTGACAAGCCTATGTTTCACGGAATTCACGGACGCTTCTAGGTTTTAAACGACTGCAAACACAACACTGGGTTTCCACATCACACTGGACATCACAGACACAGCACACCACCGATACTGATTCTTACCAGCATTTTCGAAGATCAAATCCACAGAACTGATCAACAAGAACTACAATTTGGATTGATCTAGAAATGTCAGCATCTAAGATGTCTCACTTCTTACACTGGGAACACCTCAGTTATAACTGTGGAAGATATGGGAAAATGTGATATATGCAGACACCAACATAAAACGCAAGGTCAAGTTTAGTGTTGGATCCTCCTCCTAGAAGACCTCACATTATTAAATTTAAAAAAAACCATTTAAGAGAAAAACTATTCTTGTGACCTTGCTATGGAGCGTTTTTATTTCTTTTTTTTGTCATTATCACAGTATTTTGAGAACCTCATCACTAAACATATTTTATAAATAAAAAACTAGCTGGTATGCTTCATTAGCCCACCCACTTCTCATTCAACTTTATATGTGACTTTACTGTGTCTATTTTCAATGATGAAATTCTTATACCATCCATAAATCAATCTACTCATCAAACCACCTGTCAGACAACCTGAAAACCATCCATGATGCCATCACTCATGTAATTAGATCACCTGTGCACTGATTCCCATGTTCACCCATGAATACCCAGCCATCTAGCCATCAAACACATCAAAATCCGTATGTAGACAAGATTCACGCATTCAACATCTTCTTCCACACGCCACTAACCATCTCCACCGTCACTTCATATTGAATCTCTCAATCCGCACACTAATCCATGCCAGCCATTGCTTTTCAAAACATTCATTCTTTAGCTTTGCACCCAATGGCCCCCCCGAGGTATAATTTCATTCAGTCTTACATCCACCCAATAATGCATCCGTTTTCTAGCCTTGTAGCCAATCAGACTTTGCTTAAAATTTTTCAGCCTGGCTATTGAGCTAACTTCAATGACCTTCTTGACATCTGACTGTAAAATTACATGGAATCTCCCACATCTCCCTTATGAGTTGCAATATATGTATTTTAAATCACCCTAAAAAGAGCGACCAAAAATCATGGAGGGAAAATAAAAGCATACAGGAGCCCTGAATTCATTTTAGGAATTGTCAAAACCTGATGGAGACGGTGTATCCCGTATCCCCCCAAAAGGTAATTTTTTAATTAGGCAAATTTTCAATAGCCAGTACCTTGAACACCTGGTTAAATCCCTCCCTTCTATGTCTGATCCCATAATCATCACACATTCAATCCACAACTAATTCCCACCTCGTATTTCACAGAACTGTTCCTGGCCCTATACTACCGTCTCTGCCAGCACTGAGGACATCACAGTAATCCTAGTGTTTGTGATAAAAGCACCATAATGCCACTTTGCTCTCTTCACTGCCCATGTCCCAATTCACCACTATTTCCATTCATACCTTCACAATTATAAATACTCATCAATCCTTTTCATGGCTGCACATGACAAGACGTCCTCTGAATTTACTGCAGATTAACTCCCTGGATACCAAATTCCTATGCATACAAGCTTTACATCTTACACTCGCACCAGCACGATTTTGTGGGCTCAAGCCATCAAACACCTGAAATTACTGAAAATCTGAGAGCTGAGTTCATTGTATCTTGACCATATATTAAATTTATCTTTCCTGCTTTGTCTATCCTCTTCCCCGGCATGATTGCAGATAACTTGGTCTTAATTTCCTCATGCAATCACCCACTTCCGGGTTTTGTAAAGTATTACATCATTTACAATTTAACATTTGGCATCTATAGCCAACACCTCTGCCACTCCTACTCTATGTAAGTCTTACGTCCTACCCCAATAACCTGCTCACAGTATTGGAGGAATTCCCCAAGTTTTACCAGGGCCAGGAAAAGGCACTGTGGTGAGCTATACCAGGCCCTTTTTTCAGCTGTTTGTGTATAAATAAATCACTTAATACTTCGGAACTCTTTGAATGTGTTTTTTTTTTGTCCTCACGAGACTGGTAACTACTTTTACTCCCCTCAGAAGGATATTAAATCAAAGAGTGGCCACATTCATGAGGTAGAACTCAATGTTGACAGCCCTAATCCTATTATTTGACATTTAGGTAGATAAAAGGTAAATAAAAACCAAATACTATTTGTTTTATTTACATCTAAATGGGATTATGCTACAAGCTATTTAAGTGAACCTCATAAATTTATCCTGTTAATTTTTTAACTGCATTATATTAGCAAAATACCTTTGGGACACTAATATCAAATCCAATATCCTATAGGTAATAATGGGAAAGCATTCATCCTATATGTCCTTTTAGATTTATACTTTTGATAGTTGAAATTAATCGTGGATAAATTTTACTCTTATTTAGAGGGAATAATGAAGATGCTATGACTTTTTAAATGAAAACCTTTCATAAGGGAAAGGCTGATACAAAACACAATGTGACACAGGAATGACCTTTAATAAACTACAATGATGTATTCCTATAGCCAATGGTGAAAGAATTAACCAGTCCAGTAAAGCATTTAAAACTACCATGGAGAATGGAGCGAGACATTTAACACAGCCACAGGGATGCCATCTAGAGGTAGACATGTAGTTTTTACAGGGCCAATGGCCTGATTCCTCCACAAAAATAAAGAAAAAAAACCCCAAGGACGTTTGCAAAGTCAAAGAAAGAAATTAACACACAAAATGGAACGGAATGCTTGATTCACTGGCTGATTTGATCACATGACACAGTATATTATAGGTCAGTGGTGGCGAACCTATGACACGTGTCAGGTGACACACAAACTCCTTTTTGTGGTTGATTTTTCTGTTAAATGGCATTTAAATATATAAAGTAAATATCAAAACTATACATCTGTTTTACGATGGTTGCAAATATCAAAAAATTTCTATTTGTGACATGGCACCAGAGTTTAGTTAGGGTTTTTCAAAATGCTGACACACCGAGCTCAAAAGGTTCGCCATCACTGTTCTGGGTTCTGGGTTCATCTCTGTGATACTTGATATCACTAACTCCTACTTTTCAGGAGTTTGCTTGATGATTAAGCTTGAAAGACGGGCATCCCTAAAGAGTAACATATAATATACAAAACTAGGTCTTGGATGTTATTTCTTGGATGGGAGATGGGAAAATATAAGTGCACGTGCAGATTCTATTTGGGATGTATTTTTAAAAATCCCTTTCATCCT